CCCCCCCCCCACAAACCCCTTGCACACACACTCTCTCTTCAACGCGCCTCATCGCCTTCTCGTCTCGTCTCCTCGTCTTTGCTGCGGTCGCATCCTCTCTCTCTCGCAATAGTTTCCTTCAACTTCTGCCCTCTGCTCGTCAAATTCCTCGCCTGGCACCGTTAACGCTTTGCTCTTCTTCCCGCTCTTCATCTTTGGCGCACGCCCGTTCAGCTTTGTGCTGCTCGTAACGACAGGTCACGCGGTCGGTTGGTCAGCGCGAGCCCCTCCCTCATCCAAGGCAACGAGTTGGGCACACTTTCTGCATCACCATCGACCGAGATCCACCACCAGCCTTGCCTACATTACCCGCTCTCCATCTCGTTCCAGCTGGCATCAAGATGGGAAGCAACGGCGAGGACTCGCAATCGCCAAACCGCAAGGCCCAAACAGGGGATGGGACCGACACGCCCTCGACCCCCTCTAGGAATCCAGGCGGTGTCAACTATTCGGCTTCTACTGGATCGCTGCTCACTCCCCCCAGCAAGTCCTTGACCACAGGCCGACGACCTGACCCTGGTCTGAGGCTGGGAGGCTTCACTCAGCTGGATACTGATATTCCCGACTCAGACTCGGACGAAGAAGGGCAGGAAAGGTGGAAATCTGGACCCACGACGCCTTCGATTGCAGAGACCGCTGCTCAGCTTCGTCGTAGCCTGTCGGTGCACGGACTGCACGAGCTTGCACAAAACCCGGCGCAGATCAGGCACAAGCTGTGGAGACCGGCAGATGACCCTGCGCATGTGCCTCACGATTATGAGCGGGTCATTGTCCATTCGGTGAGTCATGCTGTGAGCTGGTGATGGCTCGAGAAGCGACGCTTGCTAACAGCGAGCCCTGCCTGCGCACGCCATTGCAGTTCCGAGGAGGTCTGCGCGCGTTGCTCTTCGCCTTCGGATGTCGAGGAACGGTCATGCTTCTCTTTGCTTTGGTCAAAGCTTTCCGAACCAAGTGAGTGCTCCGCGGAAGTCTCGATGTGTACGCAAGCGCCACTTGGTGATGCGAGATCTTGAATCGGAGGACTTGAATCTGGGCTGCAGCCGGCGCTCGGGAGTCGGGAGTGGTAGGTTTTGCAGTTTGCGGTTCGCGTCCGTCGTAGTACAAGAAGCACCTTGTTTGAGCATGCTCAGAACGTAGCAACGGCTTAGCAATGCTCGATCAAGGAGGCGGATTGGGTTTCGAGTGATTTCGCTATCACCAACACTGGTGTGGGTAGCTGGACCCGAATCTATCAGAGCGTCGAGACGTCATCGCCGTCTGGAGACGGAGCTGCGCATGCAGTCACCTATCAAGCACAATCATGAGCGACGCTCTTCAGCTGGTCAATCGGGTGTACTGACTAATTCTCAACACGAATTTACAGGAAATGGAAGACAAACCCCTTGGTCCTGGCGTTCTTCGGTCCGACCAACGTTCGCTTTGCATCCGTCTTTGGCCTTTGGACGCTGATCTACAAAGCTGTGCACAATGGTCTTCGCCTAGTCACACCGATGCCCGAGCGTGTTCCTCGCCGCAAGCGCAGCGCTAGCGGAGATGGCTCTGCAAGTGGGAGCGCGACTCCTCGAAGCGGGTACTCTGAGCTAGAAGGCAAGACAGGGGAAGAGAGAGCGAAGCTAAAAAACAACCAAAAGAAGCGTGCTTTCATGCGCGACCCTCGATCGAAGGTGTGGCACGCATACGTCGCAGGTGCCCTCTCCGGTCTGGCCATACTCGCAGAAGCACCGGGAAATCGTATCGGATTGGCTCAGCAGCTAGTGGTGCGGGGCTTAGAGGGCACCTATAACGTTGCCCACGGGAAAGGTCTTATCACCATCCCGTATGGGTCCGTCTTGGCCTTTGGCATGGCGTGCGGACAGATCATGTACGCTTGGATCGATGCACCCGAATCGCTCCCGCGCTCCTACGTCAAGTGGATCACCGAAGCCTCCAAGGTGACGCCTATCTGTCTCAAGGTGCATCGCGATCACGAGGATGTGGTCACCAACGACTGCTTCGAGTTGTTCCCTGGCGGCAAGTTCCCAGACCTCATCAAGATGCCAAATGGAAAGATGCGCTACCCCAACCTTCCCGCCACAAAAGCAAATAGGCGCGGCATGACGGGAAAGAATGTCGCGAAGGTCGTTGCGTGGAAGGAACGCACGGACAAGGGCAAGCTGGACCCCTTCGTGCCCTGCTGTCTGGTCCATCCCTGGGAGGACAGTCACTGGTGGAGTCCAGTAGACCGTTTCGTAGAGGTTACTCGCTGGATTCTGCCAGTGTATGCAACTCTGCACTTTGTGCCTGCCATCTTCTTGCGAATGGGCGCGTTTAGAAAGGACCCGTGGCGGATCTTGTCGCGAGCCGCCTTTGGCTCTTTGCGATCGTCCTCCTTCCTGGGCGTCTTCGTCATCATTTTCCAGACGTTCTTCTGCGGCTGTCACTCCATTCTGTCCTGGCTGGACAAATTCCCATCCATCCGGGATAGAGTCCCTGGCTGGTTCATTCACGCCCTCACAAAAGGAGAGATGCATTGGTTTGCGGGTTTCCTGACCTGCTTTTCTCTTTTCATCGAGCATTCCAAACGTCGCACCGAGCTCGCGATGTACGTCCTTCCCAAGGGCGCAGAGTCTGCTTGGTCCGTTGCGCGAAAGCGTTCTTGGGTTCCATTCGTACCCGGTGGCGATCTGCTGCTCACTTCGGCAGGCATGTCGCTGGTCATGGGCACCTACGCTCAAAGCCCCGAGCACCTCTCAGGCATTGTTCGCCGCGTTGTATATCAGTTCGTTGGCCACAACTAGAGTGTTCCTGCACAACCTTCCCCCGTCACGCCTATGCCGAGGCATCTCTCCAATGCATCTCCTCCTCAACTCAAAGCACGCACCTGCTCGTGAGTGCAGCGTCTTTTTGACGACGCGCTGCTGTTCTAGTCCAACTTGCATCTCTCCTTTTTTCGGCTTGCACACTTTGCTCTGTTTTTTTCCCTCCTCTTTGGCGTACGACGGAACAGCCGCCGACTTTAAACATACCTCTTTTGTTACACGTTTGTCTTGCTCGAGTCCGCACGCGGTCGATGCAGCTTCAATGCATGCACGATGGTTGTCGTCGACACCACGAAGCGCGAAACACTGCCAAGACTGTGCACAAAGACCCGATTGCTTCGCATCGTCACGCTTTTGCAATTGCAAAGCCGCCTCGCCCGACGCTTTCCTCGCCCAGTCAGACAATGAATGATGGCATTGGCGTTACGCGTGAGAGTTTTTAGAGTGACGCTTAAAGATTGAAACTTTTGTGTAGTGTCCCGCTCTCGAGTCGATTTGCAACAGGAGCAAGATCGTGTTCCCAGCCAGTCCTCCTTTCGTGACCAACGGTGTAACAGATTGAGCACGTCATACCTTGCTTCGCTTTCTTCCCGGTCTGTAGCAGTTGCCCGTGACCTTGCGCCACAGCCGTAGGGTTCTACTTTTGCTTTCCGCACAAGTCGATCATCCGACAAACTTTTCTCTCGTCTGATCGCGCAAAAACCATCGGAAGCCCTCGTACGACTGAGAAGGTCAGCATGGTCAACATGGTCAGCAGGGCTGCAGAACGAATGCTGGCCGGGTTCTCATCTCCTCGCTCTGGGACTCACCAACCAGCACAAAGCGTTGGAGGGCATGAAGGTAAGAACGCGCGGAGAGAGACCTCGTGCAAAGCCCTTGAGCCCTTCCCTTTCGTGAATGATTTTGAAAGCTGTGACCATTCCGCTGGCTTTCCTAATGACCGCGTCCGAAGAGTTGCCTCTCGTTTGCAGGAGCGTCTTGGCCACATCCAAAGGGTTTGTGACTGCTGCAGCCACAGCGCCTGCGAATCCACCTGCTACCGCGTGTGTGGTGGGACTGTAAGATCCTGAAGGATTCAGAACTTCTTTGGCCCATTCGTAGGTGCTGAACTGTACAGCGGTGAATGGAATTGTCATGGCGAGCGTTGTTGGATATGAGACGTAAAAAGCCCTCAGACCTTCCCGCTTGTAGACATCAGATGCGCAGGTGAGCACAGATCGATACGTGGATCCGTGCATCTGCATCCTTTGCTTGACTACTGCAGCACAGTACGTGAAATGATCGCGAGTTAGCGATTCTCCCCATCAAGGCGAGCCAATGCCAGATCTGCCATCTCACCATCGAACGGGTTCATAAATGCGTCAGAAGCGATAGTAGCCGAAGCTCCAGCGAATGCTGTTTGGGAGCGCCCGAGGACAGCGTCAGTCAGCAACAGAGACCCATTCAGCAGCACGGTCTTGCGAAGCAGCAAGCAAGTGGAAGCGCAAAGCTCGTCGTGGTAGCGGATGTCGTGCGCCACTCCGGTCTTGCGCTGAAGCTGCTGCTCGCCCAGCATGATACTCACCAGTGCTCGCAAACTGATGACCACTCCTGTTACCTCCAGTCGCCTCCTTGACGACCTCATAGGTTCCGAAGTACACTGCATGAGCAGGACCGGCACCCATCACCACGCTCGCCACACCTCTCCATAACGCTCTTCCTCCTTCTGCCGAGGATATTCTGCGAAGTGCTTCTGTTACACCCGAGTAGGTGGCTGCTGGAGATGCTGATAGTACTTGCATGCGGGTCTGCGGCGAGCATAGAAAGGTTAGCAGGTGATCGACGTCAAGCCAAGCCAAGCGCTGGTAATCTCTAGCAGAGCGGCATAGAAAATCGAGCCAGCCACAATGCTTTGCGGCACGCCGAGCTGCGCAATACGCTGTGCCACTCACTCGGATGACGTCTACGGGGAACATGACTGCATGCTCGCTGATGCCGGCCAGTGCTCCCGCGATCATGTTGATGTGCAAGGGAAACCCCTCTCCCAGGCCCTCGTAATCCACCTCCTCGCCTGCGTCTGCCATCTTGTTTACCACCAAGGGCTGTTCGACTAGACTTTGAGCTTGCAACTTCGCAGTGCGTTGCAGCGGGTCACAAATTGCGCTACGACTCTCGTCCCGTACTTCTCGATGCTTTGGTGCAGAGCAGAAACGCTGGCTTTAGCTTGCCTCTAGCCGTTGCAGACAAATTACAAGGATCCGCTTGAGGTTTGAGCAGGGGCTTGTTGACTGCTTCGCGTTTTTCTTGTGCACGCCAGGGACAGACGCTCTATGTGCGCGCTAGATGGAGCGCTGGGCTGTATATCGAGCGCAAAGCAAAGGCGATTGTTTGATGTGGAAGCGAGGGGAAGAGGAGATGCAGAGAGAGAGACAGAGAGAGAGACAGAGAGAGAGAGAAGGAGATGAGATGTCTGTTCGGCAATCACAACCGGCGAATCACAATGGCTGCAGACCTGCTCACCGTGAAGTCTGATGAGTGTGTGGATGCTTCTCATTCAAAATTCACTCACACTCACACTCACACTCACACTCTTGAC